GCTCCATTCCGATGTGTTCAATTTAGTTATCTATATTTTTCATGCCACGATCATGACTCACACTGTTTATTTTGCAACCTACTAAATCACTGAGCCCTGTGTTTGGAACAATTTCCTATATGAGGTTGGGGTGACAAAGAGTTAAACTGGTGGTGGTTGAGTTGTAGGCGGGTAAAGTGGGGAGGTCAGACTTTCAGAAGACGCCAGATGTCCTTGACTCCTGGGACGCAAAATGCTGTTGACTTCCAGGATTGCCTGGCTGCAGCTGCTTGGGTTGCTGAGCTGTCCCTATTGCCGGGGTGAGGACCTGGGGCTCCCACAGCTGGAGCCTTTGGGTTTGATTTGGCAAGCACTAGCACTGCTAGCCCCAGGCTGGGACTGACAGGAGTGGCCGGAGCTCCAAGGCTGCCAATCACCTGGGAAACGACATCTCTCTGGAATGCTGCCCATGCAGGAGGTGCAGCATGGGAGATGCTGACAGTAGGCAGATTCCCACGGCTTCCTTGGGGAGAGCTGAGGGCCCCCCCCTCTTCCTGAGGGAGCTTCTTCTCTCCTCCCACACTGTCTGCCTGCAGGGCAGCCTCCTGAGATGTCTAACCTGAGCTGCGTGTTTGTCCTGGGTACAGGTGCCATTTTCAGCCTTTCATGAGGTGAGAAGGGGAGAGGGGTCATGGAGGACCAGGACTTTGACAGCCAGCAGATAGTATGTGCACAGCAGGGTCACTAGTAGGGAGCCCAGGGTGTGGCGAGGCGGCTTTAGCCAGTGGCTGCTGTGCTGGTGTTGGGACAAGGACTCAGGTGAATTCAGTGAATCCTTTCACACAGGGCAAGCAGCGGGCCTGTGCCATGCTCAGATGTCCCCTCCAATGCTGAGGTTTTCTTTTCAGGTGGGCAGTGTTGGAGGAAGAGAAGGGACACATAACCCCCTCCCAGACCACTGAGTTCAGCAGCCTGGAACAAGCCCCTTGTAGTACTCACCTCCCATATCCTTGCAGCCTGTATAGGGCCCTGTTGCAGCCCAAAGCAAAATGAACCACAAATTCAGAAATGGACTGCTGGCTGGGCTTCCTATGGGAGGTGTGAGAAGCATGTGCTATGTAGCTTGGATGTTGAGGGGCAGAGGGGAACGTGTCTACTAAAGAGCAGAGTGTGTGTGTAAGTAGGGGAGTCCAGTGCTGTCCCTATGCAGGACCCAGCAGGGCTGTCAGGCAATGGGGCAGGCAGGGCTCAAGTGATTGGCAGATTGCTGAGCTGTCCCTGGGGATTGGAGGGGCTGGTAATGCCATTAATACCCAGCAGCTCTTAAAAGGACCGGCTAAATTTACAGCTCCTAATGCCACTTGTCCCCTACTGCAGTTGGGACAGGATGCTGCCATGCTCTGACACCCTAGCCTCTTGTCTCTCTTCCTGCAGGGCCAGAGACAAGGCCATCCCCTCTTTCTCCACCCCTTTTCCTCTCCTGTCCCTAAGTGTGATAAAAAATTCTTGTAGTAAGGGTTGGTGATCCAGGGGGGCTACGAGACTGTAGGCCCAGGGAAGGGGACTTGGTGTGAGGAAAAATGTCTTTATCAGACACATGTGTGTAGGTTTTATTTCAGGCCTTACTAGTAGTAAGCCAGACTCCTGGATTTTTTTTCCTCTTTGGTAAGCATGGAGGGTCACTGGCTGGGGCATGGGCAGCTGGCCCAGGACCAGGAGAGGGTGGGGTGTGGTCCCTGCCACACAGGTGCAAACAGCCCTGGTTGTGTCTAAGTCTGACTGCTCTAAGCCTTCTATGGGAGCTCCCTCTGCCACCCTCCTGTAACATGGACCCTGTGCCCTCTGCAAAGGCTGCCTGCCCAGGCCTCTCGCAGCTTAGGTCTGCCCATCCCTGTGATGCCTGCAAATTGCAGCCTCAGCGCTTTCCCTGCTCTGCCACTGGCCTTTATGCTGGTCCTCATCTGTCACCTGATGGGGAGGGGAGTAGAGCAGGGCTGGGAGGAAGGGGCGCAGGCGTACAGCCAGTCACGCAGGGCAGGCGTACTTGCGGCTCTTCCTGGCTCTGCCCCTCTGCACACCCTGATGGCTGCACTCAGAGCTCTGTCTGGTTCCTTTCCGGCCTCTCCCGTCTCGCCCTTCTTTCCTGGTCTCTTTCTCCTGTGCTGTCACTGATCCTCTGGCCTTGCAGGCCCTCCCAGCCCAGCCAGCAGCGAAGCCAGTGGCAGCTTCCTTTTCCTAGGCTTTCTATGCACCAGAAGCAGGCTTGGGGAGGCCCTCAGAACTAGTGCTGGAGACAGGGGAACAACTTTTCCCTTTCCTGGTGTCTGTACCAGCCAGAGAAGACTCAACCCTGCTCCTCCACACTCCTCGTGCCTTTAAAACAAAGCACGGTTTCCGGGTCCAATTCCAAAGAACAGGGGACTCAGCGAGGCGCTATGTGCTCTTGCTCATGGCCACATCCTTTAGGTACCCAGATCCTGAAACAGCCAAGTTCCTGGTTGCCGTGAAGACACACAAAGTGTCACTGTGACAGCTGCTCTTCCCCAGTCTTTCTGACACATGGTGCAGCCTGGGTGGACCTTGAACATGGGATGCTAGGAGAAATAAACCAGTCACAGCGGGACAAATGCTACAGGAGTTCATTATATAGGAGGTATCAGGAGAGACGTCAGGTAGGACATTGGCACTGCATACAGAGAGATGGTCAGTAGCAGAGTTCTGTTTGGAGGATGAGGGTTATCACTATTGGTAATGAAAGTCTTATGACCTCATGAACATCTGTGAGGCCACTGCCTTGTATGCTTATAAATGGCCAAGGTTCAGGTTATATGTATTTGATAACATAACCAAAAACGCAGGAGATGGGCCTGAACATCTGCCTTGGGTTCAAAGGTGAAGTCACTGCTTGGATGCCCATGTCTGCTGTCAAATGTCTGGTTTGAGTCCCAGCTCCTCTTCCAATCCAGCTTCCTGCCATCGTGTACCCTAAGAGGCAGCAGAGTCTGCTCAAGAACTTGGGTTCCTACCACCTACATGGGAGACCTGGCTGGAGTTTGGCCTGACAAACATGAGTTGTTGCAGACTTGGAGAGGGAACTAATGGGTAGAAGATCTTTTCAGTTTTCCTTCCTCTCTCTTTCTTTCTCTATCTTTCAAGCAAAAGTGAAAATAAATTTAAAAGTTTGAAGATTTATGTATTTATTTGAAAGGCAGAGAGAGAGAGATATCTTTCATTCTGTGGTTCACTCCCCAAATGGCCACTACAGCCAGGTCTGGGCCAGGCTGAAGCCATAAACCAGGAACGCTTTTCTGGTCTTCCACATGGGTGTCAGGGGCCCAAGCACTTGGGTTGCCTTCACCTACATTTCCAGGCACATTAGCAGGGGGCTGGAGCCAAAGCAGAGTAGCTGGGACTTGAACCTGATACTCTGATGTGGGTGGGGTGCAGGGGTCCCCAGGGGCTTCTTAATTGCTGCATCAAATGTCTTCTCTCAATTTATCTTTTAATTCTGTTTTTTATGAACGTCTAGAAGTGTCTTGTATTTACCTTGTTGCCCCTGTCTTGCAGAATCAGGGGTCCTTAGGACAGAGTGTGGAAGAGAGCAGGTGACAGCAGACCAGGGGTATGCTCAAGGCTGTGGGCAGCCAGGCTGAACCACCAGAACCTGCTGAGGAGCAGTTGAGGTGCAACTCAGAGCTCCCATCTGGAGACCAAGGGGGAGGAGCGTCTGCCCTGCCAAGGGTTGTCTTGTGGGCTGTTACTGCTTCACATCCCAGATTATAGGGGCCACCTGGGTTCCACAGGCACTTCCTGGTATGTCTGAGGGCACTGGGGCAACTAGAGTCAGATGGTGTGGGGCTGTACTGTGGGGATCTGATCAGTCAGCACAGACTAAAACAGAAGGGTGACTGAGGGGACGTGGGGACATAAGAGGTGTCCCAGAAAAGAGGCCTTGGAGGTTTCCTGTTTTGCCGCTTGGACATAAAAATGTTATATAGTTGGGATTGCTTTTGTAGCTATTGCTTTCCTGAAGGCCAGTGTGAGTGTGGGATGACCACTGGGACCAAACCCCCTCACAAAGATGTGGGGGTGGCTCACTCGGGCCTGGAATAGCTAGCTATTGTAGTAGGAGATGTGTTGGTGATGGGAGGGACATAAAACCACTATAGGCCTTACATGGCAGGTGGAGGAAGAGGCACTGGACAGCCTCCTCCCCTAGCCTTGACTGTGTCTAGTACCTTAGGTGCATTGATTCCAGCTCACCCTGATCCATGCAGGCCTGCTGTTGCTGTGGCCTTCAGGTCTGGGTTTCGTTTTCCTGGTGAGGGTACCACCCAGGCCCAAGACCTCCACTCCTGTTGCTCCTCCCTTTAGCATGCACGGACAGTTGACAAGCCCCAAGGCCAGTGAGCTGCAGAGCCCAGAGCAAGTCCCTGTAGCCTTTCCCAGTCTCCTGTAGCTGGCCTGACAGAGGCAGGAAGCCGGTGGAGGATGTGTGTCTACTGGACCAGCTTCCTCTCCATCACCAGTGCCAGCCTCCACATTCATGGCCCAGCAGCCTTTTGGGAGCCCAGCATGTCATCTCTTACCTGACTTTGGATCCATTATAGTTAAGCACTCAATACACCCTTAATAATGGCAAATAATCTTGTTTCCAAAAAGCTCTCAGAAATCCAAGGTTTCCAAAGGTGCTAGAACCTTGCCTTTCCTACAAGCCTAGGTGGTAGGCTGGATCTATCTGCTGTTTTTCCTGGTCAGGATGGCCTGGTAGGTGCTAATCCCTGATGTCACACAAGCTCCTGTGCAGTTGCATTGGGTACTTTCTGATTTCTGCCTCCCTCTCTGCATAGTGGGAATTGGGTGTCTTCATGGGAAAAAGGCATGCAGGGTCCTGATGCCGATTCCTCAGGGCCGGGGAGAGACCACAATGCCACAACGGATGAGCAAATGCTCTTTCTTGGGAGCACCAGCCTCACCTCGGGCAGCATCTCACGGTGCCTTGTCTGTCCTCTTTCCCACAGCCCTGTGCCAGGTACCTGAGCTGGGGGCATGGAGAACTCCTCAGCAGCATCAGCCTCCTCCGGGGCCGGGAGCAACCGCTCCCAAGAAATTGAGGAGCTGGAGCGCTTTATCGACAGCTATGTATTGGAGTACCAGGTGCAGGGGCTGCTGGTCCATAAGGCTGAGGGTGACGGCGAGAGCGAGAAGACACAGTCCCCCATCTCCCAGGTGAGTGCTGCTGGGCAAGGAAGGGCTGAGCCAGAGAGGGGTTGGAGGCAAGATGTAACATGAATGTGCTTCAAAACCCCCATGGAGAAATGGGGTTAAAGGCAAGTTTCTTGCATGCGAAGCATTTTGTAAGGGCATGTATAGTTTCAAAATACATGTTGGCACGAACTTTTTGAAAATCCATTACAGACATGCATAAGTTCTTTAATTTTTTAAAAAATTTTTTTTCATTTTTATTTGGAAGGCAGATTCACAGAGAGGAGAGACAAAGAGAACGATCTTCCGTCCTCTTGTTCACTCCCCAAATGTTCACAATGGCCAGATCTGAGCTGATCTGAAACCAGGAACCAGGAGATTCTTTTGAGCCTCCTGTGTGGGTGCAAGGAGCCCAGGAACTTGATCCTCCCTCTGCTGATTTCCCAGTCCATACACAGAGACCTGGATTGAAAATGGAGCAACTGGGGGACTCACCCGTTTGGGAATGCCAGTGCTACAAGCAGAGAATTAGCCACTGTGCTGGCCCTGATAATTTTTCATCAAAATCACTTACATTTTTTAAAGATTTATTCATTTTTGTTAGAAAGACAGATTTACAGAGAGAAGGAGGGAAATAGAATAAGATCTTCCATTTACTATTTCACTACCCAAGTTTCCACAATGACCAGAGCAGAGCCAGTCCCAGGCCAGAGCATCTTCCAGGTCTGCCACTTGCGTATGCAGGATACCAAGGACTTGGGCCATCCTCTGCTATTTTTCCAGACCAGAAGCAGGGAGCTGGATCAGAAGCATAGTGGCTGGGACATGAACTGGCACCTATATGAGATGCTGGCACTTAAAGATGAATGATTAGCCTATCGTGCCACAACACAAACCCCAGTCAACTTAGGTTTAATTCTATGTTTTGAACTGTTTTCAGCCTCTTTGTGTAACTCGTTGGAGGAGTTTAACTGTGAAGGGAAGAGAGAGAGAGAGAGATGTAGCATGGTTTGGGGCCTTGAGGTCAAAGTAGGAGTACACACACAGCACTGGCTTTTCATGTGGGCTCTGTTTCTAGTCCTGGCAGCCCATCCAGTGGCTTCAGTCTGACTTAAGTGAAACCTGTTGTGGTGTTTCCCCCCACTGCTGCAAGCCATGGAGATATGGGAGCAGAGTTGGGGTGCTGACTTAGCCAGAATGGGGGTGTTCCCAGTGAGTACAGTAGCAAGAGCACTGGGGGAGGGAGCTGAGGGAGTAATGATAGTGATGAGGCCAGGATGCCCGGCCAGGTGAGGAGGGGAGTGGGTGTCCTGGGAGGATGCTGAAGGGTGCTAGGTTCCCAGGCTTTGGTGATCGGGATTCTTTTGGTGAACCAAAGAATTGCTGGAGTCCTGGGTTTGGTGGGAGTGAGCCAGAAAGATAGGAAGGATGTGGCAGTGGTGGGGGTGGTGTTTTGGAATCCAGAGTGGAAGAAGTACAGTCATTGGCCAGGAGAGGGCTGGGCATGCGCGTGGGTGTGCAGGGAAGGAGGGAGAGTGCAGCAGGAGAGGCTGTGAGCAGGAGAGGCAGGGCCCAGAGCCATCTTTCTGGATCTCAACAGAGAACAAAAGCACATTGGGGGAGGGAGGGGTAGTGGTGGCTGCCATCCAGGAGAGCAAGGAGAGAAATGGCAGGTGGCTCGGACAAATGATTGCAAGGAGCGGGGCGGGGTCTTGTCTGGTGTGTTCATTTATTCCAGTCACTTCCTTTGGTGATTTATACCAGCCTTATTGGAGAGTTAGCAATCTGCCAACCTGAAGTGGAAGGCATGGGGAAATGCTGGAATATATCCAAAGGAAATTAACCACTGGTGGGCTGCTTAGGTTGGGAGGGCAGGAAGTAAAGGAGCCAACATTGCCAGCCTCTGTAAGCCTTCTGGAGCTGTGCTCTGTGGAACATGGGGTGCCTCTAGCTGATGTGTACACTAGCAATGGATGAATGGACAGGGGTGAGGACACCGTGAGACTTGACCCAAGCAGAAGCTGGTACTGAGACAGTTGCAGAAAGGTGCTCTAGAGCCTCTGATGCACTCTTGGGGAGTGATCGCCCCAGCTCACTGCCCTCTGTCTCTGATTTCTGTTCCCAGGATCTACAGGGCCAGGCTCATGCCTGGGGGCCCAGATATGAGTGGTGGATGAGGCAGGACCATGTAAGGACTGTGAAACCAGAGGTTGTTGTGCATAGCAAGGCCAGACTTGCATTTTGAGACATATTCCTTGGGCATCTGCGCTCTCGTGGAGGAGTGTAAACGCCTATCAGGTTCCTAGCAGGACTCTGGGGCATGGAGGCATGCTGCTGGCATGGGGGCACACTCCAGTCCTGCTCCCACCAGCCCCTGCCACCTGTTCCCCATGCCCATAAGGCTGGCCCTAGCTGTGCTACCCAAAGCAGATAAGACACGTCTTTGCAAATGCAGTCCCTGTCGACACAGCGCTGTGGGAACAGCACCTGTTGCAGCACTTGGCTTGTTTTCCTTGAATCTAATGACCACTGAAATGGAAGCCAAGAGAAACAACCACCAAGTGGGTCCCTGTCTGCCCATCTGTGGTGATGTTTGTAGGTTCCTGGGAGAGGAAATGTGTTGAGGAGAATGGTTGCTTATCACCCGATGAGGTTGCGTTTTAGGATCAGAGAGACAACTGTGGACATATAGGAAGAGGACACTAATTGTAGTCTCTTCCCCCACTCCCCTCCCCCAGCAGCCACTAGGAAGAAAGGATATGTAGGGAGGTGGATGGATACACAAAACTTCCTTTCCCTTAGATGAGTGGCCAAGAGAAAATGTGTGCTTTGATACTTTTCAAATCCCTTATTTAAAAAATATTATTAGAAGATTTATTTCTTTTGAAAGTTAGAATTGAAAGTAAGAAAGATCTTCCATCCATTGGTTCACTCCCCATATGGCCATCATGGTCAGCACTGAGCCAGGCCAAAGCTAGGACTCAGGAATTTCATTCAGGATGCTTGGATTCAAACATGTGAGGTGTCATTTGGTGCTTTTCTCAGGCCATCACCATGTCCGGAAGGACAGAAGGCTTTTTCTGAGAATTGTCCTAGGATGGCAGCAGGAGTGTGCACATGGCCTGGCCTTCCTCCAGCTGCCAACTGGACACCAAATAGCCCAGCTGTTCTGTCCATCCCCACCAGCCAGGGTCCTGCCTCAGAACCGTGGAAGGAGAAACCCATGCAAATATATACAGTGCAGGGATTGGTTATATAATATTTTGAACCTTATATACATGTTCATACATGTGTGGCTTTATGAATACATGATTCCAAAAATGTGTGTGTATACATTCTGTGGACCCTGTGTATTTCTGGATGTGTATGTATGCAGACACATTTTTCTCTGTAATTGTGGTAGATTTCAAGCATAGCACAGAGTGCTTGCTGCTGCCCAGCTATCCCTAACATCAACGACTTACATAACCCAGTGAAGCAATCAGAATGGAGTTGGCATGGCTGCAGAGCTGTTAGAGCTTCACTTGGATTTCATAGGTGTCTCTGCACATGTTCTCTTGCTGATCCAAGTCCCAGATTTGCTTTTTGTTGTGGCTGTTAAGCAGTGGCTTAACCTACTGTGCCACGGCACCAGCCCCAATCTTGACACTTTGTAGGAAACCCATCAGCTTGGTTGGTCTGCTGTTTTCTCGTCCTTGTTTTGATGTTAGGCACTGTAGTTAAGAGACCCTCGGAGGGGCTGAATCCTCCTCTGTGTTTCATGTCAGGCAGTCCACGAGATTGGCGGTCCTAGCTAGGACCACTGGGCTGACGGGGTGTCTGATGGGTTTCTCATTTTTCAATTAGTCAGTGTCTTGGAGTAGATACGTTGAGACTGCATTTGTCCAAGCAGAGGGAATTTATTCCACAAATTGGTGACATAGGTAATAAAACAACCTAGAAGTTCAATGACCCAAAGATTAGCAACTGCAGGGAGTCAGGGTGGTCATACCACCTCCATGAGGGGCAGAGCTGGTGTTGCCAGAGTCCAGGGGTCAGGGTCAAGCACAAAGGCCCATCTGAGGAGGGCTGGGGCCACAAGGAACCTGTCACCTTTGCAATGCTACTTGGGGCAGAGAGAAAGGAGAAATTTCCGGGTTTCTCCATTTTCCTTTTCCTGTTGGCCAAACCCAGCAGGAAGGCCACTGACATGGGGCCTGGGAAGGCCAGCCTATGTGCATGAGGGAGCAGAATGAACAGGAAGCGAATCTGATGCGATTGCCATTGCTCTAGAGCTGTGCTGGCTGCTGGGAGCCTCAGGCCCTGTGTACCTCTGGAGCCCTCGAGGTATGGCTTACCCAGGCAGAGATGTGCTCTGAGTGGTTTACAGAAACACCATAGAAGGAAAAATGTGAAATAGGTCACTAATAATCTCTTCTATGGATTACCTGTTGAGGCAGTTATGTTTGTGGCACATTGGATTAAAAAATCTGTTTAACTTTCCCTCTTCCTTTTTACACTCCGGCCACTTGGAAATAGAAGATTCTACCTTTGGCTCCTGTTTTGTTCCAGCCAACAGGTGTCACAGTCCACTTGTACCCAAGCTCAATAATTAGCACAGCAACACGAGGGTCTTTCCTGGGCAGAGATCGTGTCTTTGACCCACACTCAAGGGCATGCCCAGCCATAATTGTAGAAGAATCAGGACTGTGTTGGCCAGGAGGTATCCTTACACACTCACAGGGTTAACAAGAATGGCACCTCCCTAGGCTGAGTTCTCTGTGCCTTTTGCCCATCATCCAGAGTACAGGTTAAGGTCAGTGATGAGCAGCGCCAGCCCGAGAGGCTAGCGGGGAACACTATCATAATGACACGGTGATGACACTGGATGGTCCCACACAGGGCAAGTGCTGTATCCCTCCTCCCACTTTTCAGTTTACAAGGCCACTTCCTCTTCAGCTTGCCAAGCCATTCAGCGCTGCTGTCACATTTAAAGGTGGAACAGCAAAGCCTAGGATACCCTGGGGATTTCAGTAATTCTCTCTTGGGTTGTTCTTCACAGTGCTGATCCCAGGGCCTCCTCTGGGTACAGTCAGGCAGGTGGCTCTTGGACCACCCCCTGGGACACTCTGACTGTCTCAGCTTTCTGGCTTCTCCCACCCCACCCCCATCAGATCCATCATCTTTTTGGAGCTGGGAGTGTGGGAAGAGCCACACATCCACACCTTTCCTCCAACTCTGACCACCTTGACATGGCAGAGGGCTCGTGTGGCTGTAGCCAGGTCAGGAGGTCAGAAGAACCTGGTCCTGTGTCCAGTTGACTTGGAATCATAGCTGGATTGTACAGCTTTGGTGGGCTTGGGTAAAAGGAAATGAGTATGCCTCTCAGCCCATGACCAAAGGTCACTTGGATGTGGAACTTGGAGGGGGGTCTGCTGTGGGATATGTTGAGTGGGGATTCACACTGGGTTTGCAGGAGATGGTCGTGAGCATGTGTAGGGGCTAGGGTAGGGATGGGGGGCGAGCACAAGCCTGACTGCCCACACTGACCCTCCTTTCTGTTCTACAGTGGACAGCGGATTGCAGCGAGCAGCTGGACAGCAGCTGTTCCTTCTCCCGAGGGCGAGCACCACCACAACAGGTAGGGAAGCAGCTCTGTGCTCCACGTCGGAGTATCATGAGTCATGTGCATGGCTGGGTTCCTGGGCCAGCCTGGGGTGGGTCTGCTGAGCAAGAAGATGTATAGAGAGCAGGGAGCCGGGAGGGGGCCTGGGGAAAGGATCTCCCACTGGGTAGCCTTCCTTTGTCTCCTATCCACATATCAATTCCAAAGCACTCCTTCCAGAGCAGTGTTATTTGTAACAGCAAACACAATAGTCCAATACCCACTGAGAGGGAAGGGAGTAAGATTCCATGCTGTGTCTTTCCAAATGGACTAGTACACAGCACTCAGATCACAGAAGCAGGGCTCCTGCGTGATGCTGAGAGGCCCCATGAACAGTGCTGGGGCTTCTTTGGAGACCCTGTAAAATACCCAGCGCCACAGCTTGTTAACGGCAGCTCCTAGAAGCCCGTCCATCTTGCTCAGCCCACCCATTGTCCTGGACCCAGGTCTGTACCTGCTGCTTGCCTGTGGCATTCGAAAGGGCTCTCATGTTGGGCTGCTGGGGAACAGAGAGGCAGCTAGTCTTCTATTGGCATCTTGGGGACCCTTGGGAACCTTCCACATGCCCTTTGATACTTTGTCCCTGCCTGTGGGAAACAGTAGCATTGAAAACTGACTGGCCTAGCCCTGCCCAGCCTCCAACTACACCTGCCCTGCATGATGAGGAAGGGCCTGGGTTCATGCAGTATAGAGCTGCTGCAGATCTCATGCAGTGTGTGAGCTGCTACAGATCTTGTAGCTGCTTGTTTAGTCCAGTCTCAGCCCTGTGGTGCCTGAGGGCGGCTGCTAGGGGTCTGAGTTCTGGACCTTTCTGTGGTGTAGGGGCAGCTGCTCGCTTTATAGGACTTGCTTGTCTATGCATTTCATCATCTCTCAAAGGAGGTGGCTGTGATAAGAGCATGGCCTAGGGGTTGCTGGAAACCTGAGTTATTTTTGCTCTGCCACACACCTGGTGATAGGTTCTAACTCGCTGGGGCTCAGCTTACTCATATGAAAACCAGGAGGAGGCTCCATGGCAGCTGAGGGGCCTTGTAAGCCCCCATGCTATCGGCAGATGAGGCAGCCAAGGCCAGTGAAGGGGTCATGTTCTTACCCAGGTCCCTGATTTCCCTGTAAAACAATTTCCTTTCCTGTCTGCAGGGGGTCCCCTTCCAGGGTCCCCTATGTTTTCCTTTGGCCTAAGGCCCTGCAGGTCAGGAACACTGCCCCTACCTAGGTCCTGTCAATCATTCTGGGATTTTCTGCGCAAAGATCTACATAGCACTTCAATAGCTAAGATGATTTTGGGTGTGGGGACCCCACCACCAGAGGGAGGGGCTTGGAGACTGGGTTAAAGTTCTTAAATAGAGGGCATACTGGACTGGTTGATGAGACTCAAACATTAGCTGTCTATTATGTGGTCAGCAGGTGTCTGGTTCTGGAATTTTCCAGGATAGGGTGTTTATTTCGTTTTGTTTCTCTTCCTTTTGTCACCTTTTCTGGGCTGTTCTCTGGGCCTTTCTCTCTGATCCCAACATTCCTGTCAGGGTCCCTAAGGGATGAAAAAGGACTTTCTTCCTGCCTCTGCCCCAACATCTACTCTTCCTGCACTCCAGGCTGGACTTTTTCAGCCTGCTTTCACCCACCAGACAAAGCAGTGGGAGTTTATCAGCAGATACAGGCCAGTGGCACAGAAAGGCCCTTCCTGCCCTAAGCACCCTGGCTCTGTGGGGACCAGCTGACCTTAGTCCTACTTCCAGGAAGCAGCTGAACAGTTGGCTTAGCAAGCAGGGTTCAACAAACCACATGTGACCAAAGTGAAGGATGAAGTAGTACAATGCCCATATTGGGTCCTTTTTAGGCAGATGGCACCAGCACGTAGTGGGCTCATTTGAGAAGATGAGCCTTAAGCAGCCAGGGATAGAGGTCTCTAGATACAGACCCTCCCACTTCCCTGATGTGCTCAGAGACCAGGCTGAGGGTGATTGGCCATGCAGCTTTGTGTGCACAGGGTCATGTTGGTCTGGGGTGGGAGCTGTAGCATCTGCTTTTGGAAAGCTCGGAAGGGCGCTGTGGGAGGCTGTGCCATATAAAGCTTTCTAGAGTGAAGAAACCTCCCTAGCCAGAGCGTATCCAGCACTAACAGGTGGGACTTCCTAGCGAACCATCTGTTAAGCCCAGTGCTCGGCCTTGGGAGGGCCTGGAGCAAAGCCCTGCCTTCAGGAACTTTGCTATGTCCATCCCAGGGCAGGAAGGCCCAGGGTGGGAAGTACAAGCAGCATCTGGTCCTGTGCATGCGTGATCAGGGCTGGCAGGGTAGCTCTGCAATGCAGGGATAGCATTTGCCATCTCGCTGCTCTACCCTCTCTGGAGTAGTGCCTGTGTCCATGCGGCCCATGGTAGGCCTTGTCCCTGAGGTCCTGATGGCCTGTCACAAAGCAGCATTCCCTGATGCTCTCAGGAATGAGGATGGGGTGAAGTGGTCATATTGGTCAGCATCCCTGCATGACCATGCCACAAAGGAAGCCCCCAATCTGGCTGGCCTGCCCATACCTGTCCTGTGGTGGTCTCTAACAAAGGCAGGAGCCAGGAAACTGCCCCCCTGCAGGAGACATGTGCTGGGACAGCTCTGAAGGGTTGCTGGCAGCTCATTCACTCCTCATTTTGGTCCTCCGGGGCCAGCCCTTGGGGACACTGCCATCTGCACAGCCTTCCATGCAGGAAGGCACCTTCATCCTAACTTATGTTGCAATCAAACTGTGCCCTGTATTGGCTGCCTTTGCCCTCAGCCAGCTGATCAACCCTAAGAGACACTAGAGCCAGCTCTCCATCCCCAAGTGTCCCTGTCCTTGGGCATGGCACACAATGGGTGCTCAGTAATGCTGTTTGAGACTGCACAGAGTGGCCCAGGCTCTGCACATGCAGCCTTCCCTATAGGCCTTTTCTCTCTGGCTATACCAACTGGGGTGAGCTCTCTGGGACCACTGGTGTGACGACTCTTAGGTAACCCACTGACATTAATACCACTAGTAGAATCTTGTACCTGACCCAGGGTGGCCTTTTCTTCCCCCTGTATCATGGCTTCAAATGCAGTGCTAAGTGGTGGCCCAGTGAACTCTGAAGATGTCAAGGTCAGTTGAATGGCAAGAAGCCCAAGGCTACCTGTTCTGGCTCCTGCTACAGTGCAGGGGTCCCATACTGAGAGACCAGGCATGGTGTGGGAGACAGGTGTGGTTCCTGTCTGCGTGGAGGTTGGAGGGAGAACAGGCACTGAAGTCACAGGACTAAGATGCCTGGGCTGTGACACCACAGTCCTCAGGTTCTGGGTCACCTGCCTGGAAGCACTGTAAGTGTGTGCTGAGATTCTCCTAGTCTGCCTTCCACAGACAAATGCAGGGCAACTTCTGTGGGCACCCAGCACGAGTCCCTCTTTTCCAAGAATGCCATCTGTTCCTGCCCTTGGGGTGCCTTCTGGCAGCCACTCACTGGGAAGGGTGGATCCAAGACTTGCTACACAGTACTGATGACCATCAGCAGCCACTCTCTTGTTCAACCCATCATTGGGTGCCTGCTGTATGCAAGAGGAGTGGTGTGGCTGGGTCTCTGCCTGGAGAGACCCCAGAAGCTGCAGAGGGAAATAGGAAGAGACTTGCCTAAGTCCATGGAAAATGTGTGTGATGAAAAGAGTTTGGATGGATTTCTGAAAAAAAAAAAATGACAGTATGTAAGCAGACAAGGAGGAGCCCCATTTGCTTTCTTCTCTGCCTACTCACTTTGTGGCTCTAGTCTGTCTCTGCCAGTTTCCCAGGTTTCCCCTAGACCTGATGACCTCCCCAGCCATTCCTGGGCCTCCCTGCTGTGGTTCTGAGTCTATACTAGCATGAAGGGACAAATCTCAGTGACTTCCAAGAAGGCTTTCTGGTGGGGGACCCTTGGGGACAGGCACTGGGATGGGAAGAGTTGATCTTTCCCACCTGCTGGTCTTTCTCTAGTGGGAGCTGGGGACAATTGAGTGGCTTTCCTCATTGTAGCAAATGCTGGACAGGCAACCAGCTGGAAATGGCCTTTAGTGGGGCCCAGCCATTTAAAATGCAAATCACAACCCTGATTTGCTTCTGTGTTGGGTAGAAAGGGAGCAGGGAATGAGAGAATCAGAAGGGTTGCCTTGAGAGAACACAGGAGAAAAGATAGGATAGACAGATAAAACACCAAAGTCCTGGAATGAAAGGCATGGCCGTCCTTTCTCCTGATCTGTTCTTTGCTGGGCAGCTCAGTCCTTCCCCTACCTCCAATGCCCATCTAGTGTAGAGGCATTAAAGTGTTAGGATCCATCCCATTCTTCCCTGACTAGTTGTGTGGGATGCTGTCCTTGGTGCTGAACACACATGCCCAAACACACGTGTACCTACCTGGTATTGTTGGGATGCGATAGCTTCTCCCTGGACCCTGCCCTGCACAACCATTCTCCTGTACTTGTCCCCTTAGTCACTTCTGTTGGAGCAAATCCACACTGACCTCAAAGGGCCTGCAACAACCAGGGCATAACCTTGGGGGGACCTTTTGAGCTCCAAACATTTAATGTAATTAAAATTCCCCATGATATCTCTCCTGTATCATACCTGCCCTCCCTCCTCTACTCAGGAATCTCTAACCCATCAAATACTCCCAGGAACAGTAGGCATTTGGCACAGAAATTAAAGTTCCATATGGGACAGTTGCAGCTCCTATCCAGATCTGCTTCCAGTTCCAGTTTCCTGCTAATGTGCACCATGGGATGTAGCAGGTGATGGCTTCAGTAACTGGATCCCTGTCCCTTACATGGGTGTTCAGGGCTCCTAGATTCAGCCTAACCCACCCACAGTTTTTGTAGACATGTGGGGAGTGCAGTAGCGGATGGGGCGGACAATATCTTCCTCCACCTGCCTTTCAAATAAATATTGTTTTCCTGAAATGTTTGCAGGGCAGATAGGAAGCGTAGGTCCAGGGAGCCAGAATGC